ACAAACAAACAAACAAACAAACAAACAAACAAGCAAAAAACAAACACACAAACAAAACAAAATGAAACAACAACAACAACAACAACAACAACAACAACAACAGCAAACCTCCCAACTCCAGATAATGTAAGCTGTCTTTCAAAGAATCTACTTCAACTGACATGTAGTAGAGTGTTGAATTCATTCGTACTGAAGCATTGCAGAAATAAATCTCTTCAATTGCACAATCTGCTCAGAGTGAATTTATGAATTCCCACCGCTGAAGATTGTTATTTAATGGAAGGCTATGAGGCGTTAACATGAAATTGAAGATGACTTTCACTTACTTTCTTTTTGATTGTTCAAAGTTTCCATGTCTCAGGCTGAAAGCCCTGAAAAAACTCATAAACCACGACCAGAGTTCAAGATCGCTCATTCTGGGATTCGAACCAGAACCATCCGCTCCGTATGTAAGCATGATATCACCTGAGCAAAGGCCGCTCCCCTGCATGGCACGAGCTGGGTGAGGGCGGGGGAGGGGGTGGGGGCGGGAGCTGACCTTAATGGCCGGGGAAATCCCTCACTCGGCCGTTATTTGTGTCCTCACCCGGGGTGGAAGATCAACAAACACATGGGCCGGTTAGTGGTCACCGCCTGTTGCTGTCTGTCAGGGGAACGGGGGGATGGGCTAGGGGGCTCGGGGGCTCGGCAGGTTCCGGGGGGTTCCGGCTAGGGCCGGGCAATGAGTCGCTTTAGCAAAATCCGGATTATAATAATATGTTAGTGAACGTCTTCGGCAATTAAATTATGTGTTATGAACCGCTTCGGTAAATGGGCCAGAACCACTTCGACACACGGTTTGGAATCACTTCGACAGACGGGTTGGATCAGAACCACTTCAACAAACGGGTGCACCCACTTCGGCAAACAGGTTAGGAAAGAGAGTCTGAATTCGAATAATGTTTCATTGAGATTTATACGATTATACGGATAGGTTATCCGGATTTTTCCAACCACTAGTTCCGGGGAGTTCCAGGGGGTCCCGGGGTGAGGGTAACGGGGTGGGTCAGGCTAAAATTACAAGGGCGGACAGAGGAAAGACCAGTGTAAGTGATGGAGGTTTAGAGGGAGTTACGATGTTTTTGCAGGGACGTGTCGACAGGAACTGCGTTGTTTTCTGTGTTTTTGTTTCGGCTTCGTTCAATTGCCCCATTAGTTGAAAGGTGAGTTTGTTTAAAAGAATGTTGTGATAGAGGAAGAGGGAAGGGGGGAAG